TTTTATTACATTCATCTTCTATTCAAAATTTATCGCCATAATCTTCATTGTTATCATAGTCGCCGTAATCATAACCAACAGTCACGTCATCGTCATTACCATACTCCTCCGATCATAACCACCATCATTGTTATTACCATCAAGATCCTCACCATCATCACATTATCGTCTTCGTCGTCATCATCAACTCACTCACTCCTATTTAAAAAGAGGGCCGTGACAGCAACTGCCAATCCGAGACCGGCGATAATCGCAAATATCAGGGCCATCACCCATTTCGGAAATAAATCTTCACCTGCGGTCTCTTCTGCGTTCAGCGATAGGTTGCGAAAATTTGGCGAATTTTCGTCGGAATTGTCGTCGTATTCGGTTTTCTCGTGATTTTCGCTGTAGTTCACCAGTTCGGTCAAAGTAAGTTTCTGTTCGTTTTCAAGAATGTTCACTTTTTTCTTAAGTTGACGATTCTCTGGTTGTTTTTGCTTTGCCTAATTACATCATAAAATATTTCTTTCAGTTTGTTGTTTATTTAATAACATTTCTAGTGAATTTATTCATTACTATAGAAATTAGTTTAGTTATAAAAATTTCTTTTAAAATGTTAATAACATGAAAATTAAATAAAGACTACCAAAGTTCTCACCTTCAGTTGCAGCTTCAATGGCTTCCTTTGACAATTCAGAAACAGCACTATAGTAATCAGAAGCAGTAGTAGTATTATTAGTATCAGTGGTAATTGTTGTTGTAAATGTTGTATTAGTAGTAGCGGTAGTAGTAGAAGTTGCAGTAGTGGCAGTAGTAGTAGTAGCAGTAGTAGTAGTAGCAGTATTAGTAGTAGTAGCAGTAGTAGAGATACTAATAGTAGGAGTAGTAGTAGAAATTGTTGTTGTACCAATTTTATGATTGATATCACCGCTTCTAATTTTCTGTCTGACGTTCCGCTTGACTGGCGGAGTTAGAATGAAATGAAATTTATTTTTATATAAACTTCATTTATTCAGAAAAAGTTTTATTTAAATATATTAATAAATAGCTTAAATTGAATTAAATTGATAATTAAAATTAAATAATTTATTTATTCATTCGTAGATAAACTTGAATAAATTTACAAAACTTAGTACACAATCTCCTACCATTATACGCAGAGCTCGTTCCTCAAATATAAATGCGGTCAGGAAGAATTTGTTTTTAATTTTATAAATCAACCTATCAAATAATTATACTACCTTAATACTAACTTCAATAACAATAAAGAACAAAGATTTGACAACAAAGATGGAGAACACGACACCAACTAAGTAACTCACTCTGCTAAAGAACTAACTTTGCTCTGTTAAAAGAAACTATACAAACAAAATCTGCACTGAAGATAATTTGTGAAAAATCAAAATAAAACAGAGTTTTATTAAACTTTCATGATGAACTTGGATAATTATATTTTCAACAAATTGAACAATTCCCAGAATATTCCGGTAGGGAAAAGTGAAAAGACAAATTTTAAATTGATTAATGCCAACAATTTGGTAGAATTCATACGATACTATATATATATATATATATAGTATATATATATATATATATATATATATATATATATATATATATATATATATATATCTATATGTATGTATATATATATATTTATTTATATAGCGTAAAAAACATGTGTTAACGCATCACACAATGCGTATGATGAGCTTGGATCTCCATGCTATTGAACTTAGTTACTTCAACTAAGGACGACGCGCCTTTTACCCCGCAATGCCCGCAATACTCAATCAAATATTTCTTTAGAATAATTTGAATCAACCATCAAACCACAAAAAGTTGTAAAAGTTGATGTTGATGTAGAAGGATGTGTATCTTCTTCTGTAGACAAGGACATTATCACAACAAGGGCGACAATGATGATGACGACGTTTGAAATGTTGTTTGAAGGCCTTATCATTGTCAGTTAGCACTGTTGACTGGCTGACGTTCTAATATCTGCAACAAAATTTCAAACGAATGCTGAATTTCCTTCATGTTATGAAGCATACAAACTCCAATTAACCTTCTTTCGGTAATATTTCTAATAAAGTATTTAATCACTCAAAACTAACAAGTTTATTTGTTATTATTGTTGTTGTTTTTTGATGACGCTAATAAAGAGGCTGAAACTGTGAAAACTAAAATGCAGTTTAATATTTTTTATAAACAGCGCTAAATTTAAATTTATTTTTCTCAAAAGCCATCTCGTACGCGCTGTTCAGTTATCGAAGGGCTCCATGCATTCAAACCTTGTCACTTTGTCTTAAAACCATGCGCCCTTAACCATTACACTATACAGTACGGTACATTTTTTTCCGAGCTACCAGTATGAGAAATGGCCCCGAATTCTATTATAGTTATAGGTAGTCGTAAGGAAAATATGTTGTGATCTTTATTTTTATCAAGAAGTTTTGCCAGTGTCAGAAAACAAAATTTTTTATTGGTGCTGGAATTAGCTATTTGGCAATTTATTATTCTATTTATGAATTGTATATTAATTATTAATACACCTATTAATTTATTTACGAATTTATTTATGAGTAGGCAGAATGTTTGTGACAGTTGTTTAGCGAAGAAAAATACATTTTTGAAAACGAAATTTAACAATGAAATAAATCCGAAAGAATATGAAAAATACATTTTTGAAAACGAAATTTAACAATGAAATAAATCCGAAAGAATATGAAAAAAATTTATAAATGGATCCAAAATAAATATTAACGAAATTCAAAACTAAGATCAAATCAATGAATATTTCTAAACGTGAAATAGCGAATAAAACAAAAAAATATATAAAAGTTCTAATTTTGCGTAACAATGTCAGTCAAACTAGTCCTGAAAATAAAAAATTAAATAAGTTAAATTACAAATTAAATATTAGTTCTAATTGAAAAATATTAAAAAAATTCATTTACAATCATTAAAATGCTACATCGCATACAGCAAACAAAATAACAAATTACAAAATTCAACATCACAAACGTTCACCATTCATCATTTACCAAATTAAAAAGATTTGCAGGAAAAATAAGAAATAAAAGCAAGCCAAACCAAGCGCACACGCATACAAACAAACAGACAGACAAACATGGCCGTTTAGACAACCAGGCAAATTAATGACACACGCACCTACTACATAACTACAATCGACCACAAGAAGCACAATGAACAGGGCGCATAGAAAACTACACCCACCGCTGCTGATGACGCTGGCACCGGAGTCAACGAAGTCGTCGTGGTAGCAGGCTTCGGAGTTTTCTTTACTCCAGTTTCATCATCGTCGTCATCATCATCTTCATCATCTAATTTTTCAATCTCGATCGTCTGATTTTTACTACACCCAGCATGTTTCCGTTTTTCTTCCAATCTCTTGCGATCTCTTTCCTTTTTGCGTTTTTTCTTAAGAAATTTGTTTCTATCTTTAGCTTCTTTAGCAAATTCGCTCAGCTGTTTATTCCAGTCGTCGGCAGATTTGTCTTCGTCTTTCTCGTCGCTCTCATCCATGGGATTTTCTTTCGCTAGTTCCTGGAAGAGCATGGTTTCTCGATTTTTCTCTTCCTGAGCGGCCGCAAGCATTTTTTTCTTCTCTTGCATCATCCACAACTTTTCGATTCTTTGTTCAATGAGCCGTTTTTCTTCCTCTAGAAGATTGATCTCCTCCTGAATATCAGCATTTAAATCTTCAAACTTTCTACCGCGAAAAACCCTTCCACCATCTTCACCTATATGCGGTTCTTCTCTTTTATGTTTACCTTGTATATCTTTTATTCTTCTGTTACGCCCTCTTCTTCTTTTTCCACTTTTTCTACTTCCTTCTTCTCCTCCTCCCTTGCCTGCTTCTTTTCCACCCCCTTTATCGCCCTTCTTTCCACCACCTTTCTTTCCATCTTTTTTATCACCTTTATCACCATCATCTTTTTTTTCTGATTTATCTGAACTCTCCGGATTTGTAGGTCCAGTTGTTGTTAGACCTGCAGCGATCTCGGTGGTTCCAAGTAGTGAATAAAATCTTTCTTTCCAGTCATCGTCTTCAGTGTCGTCGTCATATTCCGTAATGATGGACGTTCTAACCATCTCGTCGACGATATCATTGTCGTGTTTATTTTCATTCATAGCGTATTCTTGCATTTTTTTCCTCTGAAGTCGCATCCAGAGCTTGTCAATTCTTCTATCGACTATGTTCCTCTCGGCCTTCAATCTTCGTAACTCTTTTTTTAATTCTTTATTTTGCTTTCTGAATTTTCTCTCGTACATTCTTGGGTCCAAATTATTTTCTTCTTCTTCCTTAATTGTTTCTTCTATCTTTGCAGTGGTGGTGCCTTCCTTCTCTGTCTCATCCTTCTTGACAGTTCTCGAATCACCGCCTGCTTCCTTTTCTGCGCGTGTCTCTCTCGATTTAAAAGGTTTCCTGCTTTGATCTGTTTGGCAAAAAATATAACAAACAGTTCAGTTTTTTTCAAATAACAATTTTCCATTAACTTTTATAATTTCAAAAATGTTTTCAATAGTTTCATGAATACGAACGATAAAATAGTTTGTATAGTGAATTGAAAGAACTCAAATATAATTAATAATACAATTCATTTTTTGCACTCAATTCATACACAGTTTTATATAAACCTATTTAAAATTGTTAAAATTGAAATATTTTTGAACCAACTCACAGTTTTCTGAATGGTTGGGAGGTAGACTTACGAGAATCGCACACAAGTAAAATATCAAACATGCTGCTTTTATCATTATAAATAGTTCTGTGTCATTTCATCATTTGCCTTGCAGAAATTTGGAACAAAGATTTTGTATTATTAGTCCACCACTCTATGTAGCGTAGTAGACTATTCTACAATGATTATTAAATATTATCTTGAATTTTCTAATAAAAAAGTTCTAAATTCAGTGATGAATTTTTTTTTCGTTAACAATAAATTTAATTAACTTTTTTCAACCAATGAAGTTATATTTATTGAGTAACCTTAAATTGTTTTTACATCTTTAAAATAATTTAATTCAATGAGAAACCTAAAATGATTAGAACGGTTGCACAATAAAAATTTGTTAAAAAATAACAAAAATTTTTGATAATTACTGATAGAAGGTATTTATCAATTATTTCTAACGTGAAACTACAATTTTAAAAAGTAGCCATTAAATGGAAATAATTGAAACATTATATTTGCACATCGCAGATAAATAATCGTCAAATTGTTTATTGTAAACAGACTATGTTGTGTCATGACGAAATAAGGTTCGTTCGTATGAAACTTATCGGTTGCTCCCCAATTAGTTAAAAGTTGTAGGGTAAAGTTTTGGTTAATCCACTAATGAATTAGAAGTCATAGGGAGAAAGGGCATCACACACGACTAAACACGTCTGTTTGCCCCTTGAATAAGTTGGAGTGGAACGAATTTGTATCCAACCTTCTTACATTTAAAAAATAGCCTGCAACTGTTGATCCTAGTTTGGCTTTTTTGTCATTAAATTATTTTTTTTAATTTTATTTAGTTAATTTAACGATTTGCTTAAATTGACAAAAGTAACGATGCCTATAAATTAGATAATGTGCAACGATCAACCAGTTTTCATTTAAAAAGTTGCAACGACAGTGTTTGTCCTTTCAACTAAATTTGGCACTCTTAACTTTTTTATTTTTTTTTGTTGAATTCATTTTTTCATTATTGCTGCTTGCAATAGAATATATTCTTTCTGCTATAACTATTTAATGCTTTCCTTAATACTATTATTATTGCCAGCCTGGAATTATTTCAACAAAAAATGTTTTTAGTTAAAATAAAACACAAAATACAATCCAACACACATTAATAGAATGTCAAGTATAAAATGAAAGCAGGAAACAAAACTAAATTCCAAAAAATAAAATATACACTCAATTTTAAAAAAATGAAAACGTAGTAAGCCTAATATCATACATTAAGAAAATAAACATTTTCAACATCCAATTTTTCCGCTTCTCAAATGATTCACAACAAAGACAAAAAGCCTAAAGATCAGTGAGAAACGTCGTAAAACTGTAGAAGAAAAATTTGGGAAAAAATAAATTACCTCTAGGCACAATATTGCTTTGCAAATATTGTCCGCAAAAATTACTTAAACGTTTTGAAAGAAATTTGCTGATGCTTTATAATTTGAATCTTCTGACTGCGAATTTTTCCAATGGTCGATATAGGCAACTTTAACGAAGAGGCGGCCAAAGTTTTAAAAATGTTAACATTTGTAAATTTTGACGATATTTTTCTGTGCAAAAATTTAGTTTTACTGATTTTCACAAAAAAATACTGTTCACAACGGTCATGGTTTCCTTGGGTCCGCCACTCCATCTTTCTAAGGAGTCCCGGAACAATAGCCACGTCTGCTTTTTTTCAAATCCGGCTCGGTGCTTGTTCCAGTGTAACAATAATCAGGTTCGTGGGTTGATTCAGACGTTGTCCTTTTAATGAATTTCCTGGCTTACTTGTGGAAAACTTTGAAACACTTGAGACGGAATGATATATTACTTTATTAGCTAATGTTTGCCATTTATGCGTAAATGTGAAAAAACATTGTGGACAGTTTCAGGTTTGTTTTTTTTTTCATTTCGTTTCTTTAAAATTGGTTAGACCTACACATAAAAATAATTCATCAAACCTGCAGTTCTCAAGTCGTTTAAATGAATTGCTCAACAATTTTATGCTATTATTAAAACAGATAATACAATAAAAAGAAAAAAATTAGATGTTGAAAAAAATAGTTATTAAAAATAAAAATATACGCTAAAAAACATTTGTATAACTTTCTTTCAAAAATTTTTCTGTTTTGATATTTTTCACACATTTTCCATACGCATACAATAGTAATAATTATAATAACAATAATAATTAAATATAATAATAATAATAACTGTTAAAAAAATCCTTAACATTTAACAAACAGAATATTATTTTAATTTTATTATCAAACAATTTTTCATAAATCTTCGCTAGATGTTTCTGTAATGGAT